TCACAATAGGAGAGCGCTGACGCTGACACGGGACAAGTGTAATCTAGAAATTTTTGAAGGAGAGAAAGGAGTATGGCAATCAAGGAGGCCATAAACGCGCCCTACAATTGTAGGGACGACTGACGATACGGGCCTAAGACCGACCCTTACCACTACAGGCCTACAGCTATGCTTTCTGTTATAAGTAAGGTAATGGAGAGGTGCATAAATCGCGAGCTTCTGGACTACCTCGAACGTCACAGCTTGATTAGCGACAGGCAGTATGGTTTCCGGCACCAACGGTCCACAGGCTTACATCACTCAATTGTGGAGTAAACTCATCCAGTCTTATGGTGAGCTCATGTCGTTGCTCTTGACATCGCGAAAGCGTTCGATCGCTGCCCTCTTAAGCAAACTTCCATCCAATGGCCTCCCAGAAAAGTTTTGCAGATGGGTGGCTGACTTTATCTCTGGCCGCAAGATATCCATCGTAATTGACGGGTTCTCCTCTGCATCCCACAACGTCAACGCGGGTGTTCCCAGCGATCGGTCTTGGCCCCGACACTGTTTCTCTTACATATCAACGACCTCCTTTCCTGCACGATCAACCCAATCCAGAGCTTCGATGATGACAGCACTCTACATGCAGGAATTCAGAGTGATCTCTGCCGCTGAGCTGGAAAAAAGAAGACTAGCGACGACTTCCTGTCTGACAAGAGACCTGGAAGCTATCACTGCTTGAGGACGCAACAATCTTGTACAGTTCAATGCTTCCAAAACACTGTACTGTGCTTTGACGAACAAAAAGCGTCCTAGCGCTCATCCGGTTTCGATGGATGGACGAGTTCTGCCAAAGAGCCAGTCATTTTGGCTGGTCGGAGTCCAGATCACCGAGGACCTGATCTGGCTCGAACACATCTCGTCAATAGCAGCAGCTGCCGGAAAAAAGCTAGGCTATTTGTTTAGGGCTAAGAAGTATTTTTCTCCGCATGACCTTCTCACTCAATGCAAGGGCCAGATAAGGCCTAGCCTCGAGTATTGCTCATACGTTTGAGGTGCTGCCGCCCCCACTACATTATCCATGCTCGATGGTGTCCAGATGAGGGCGGTCCGACTGATCGATGATTTTTATCTAACAGACAGTCTCGGAACTCTTTCGCAGCTGCCGGCCGTCGGCGATCTAGTTCTTTTCTACCGCTACACCAACGGGCTTTGCTCCTCAGAGCTCTCTTCCATGATGCCGCCGCGCGACGTGCCTGCCAGACAGACCTGCCTGACTTTGGCGTCCCATCCTAACCGGGTCGAACTTAGTACATCCAGAACTGGCCGATACGACCGCTCCTTTGTTCCGAAGGTGTCGAGACTGTGGAACAATCTACAAGAGGAAGCTTTTCCCAGTTCTACTAAACTTAGGCAGTTCAAAAATCGTATTAACAAAATTTCTTTGGGATCATTATAGCCTGCGCGGCTGCTTCGATATAAAAAAAAAATGGAAAAAACTTTCATGATGATGAGACAAAACTAAACATGTCTTTGAGTTCACACAACCAAAATTCACGCATATAGGTCGATTGCATATTACTACTACACTAATATAACCCTTGCAACTAATTGATAACAAATTTATAACCAAGTTATTCCATCTTAATTCCGCGTTCGTTATCCACTGGGACGACTATGTCTCTCTCGTTCCATCATCTGGTCGGGTATTTATTTCCCTAACGACGAGTCGAGAACCGTTTTCGAGTCGGACTCGTGGACTTCCAAGGCAGCAGGTGCATCCACTCAGGCCTCGATTATTCTTGAACCTCGGCCAAGCCAAGAAGGGCTCAGACGCGGTCGCGTAATTCTGGTTGCCTGGCGTCAACTCTGCAAGCCGTCTCATGGCCACTCAAAGTCCCAGTTATGAGGGCGTTACACTTTGTATGTGTAAGAGAGATGGATGTATGAAACTAATTCCTATAGTAAGTAAGTATGAAACTTATATATTTGTTTGTATCGTGCATCGGCTGCCCAGATGGACACAGAAGAAGACCTAGGCATTCCCGAATATTGCCTTAGGACGAAGATGATAAACTTGTGCTTTCGAATCGAAGGACGGCGGCGATGACGTCAAACAGTATTTACGATCCATACATGACAAGGTAGTACCTGAGATTCATTTTCAAGTCTAGCTGGCCTTCATTTTTTTCTACATTTTTGCTGCACATTAGCTTTGTTATTTCAAACTTAGTTGTTTCGGAAAAGTTCCAACATCCTGTACATATTTTTTTGGAGGCAGATCCTATATTTTTCAGTGTTCAAACAATAATCCAGCGAAGTTGAAAAATCGATCAAGAGGATACCGATGAGAATAATGCCCCCCCCCGCGCAGCGCGACGTTCCCTTCGCCACCACCCCCCTACGTCTACAGCACCGCGTTGATATTCAAATGAGTCTCGTCGGCGCCACCCCCGTTTTAAGGGGATTGGGGGTAGAAAGGGAAGAGGAGGGGGTGTCTCGTCACCAGGACGAAGATTATTAAATCAGGATTAGCGGCCTGTTTGTGACTTGGGCTCTGTTCGCGCATATAAACGCACCCTCTGCGCGTATAATAGTACGGTAGAGCAGAATATTGTTCTTACTGCCAACCTGAGAAACTATTATTGACCGTTATCCTCTAATGAGCAGTGACTTTACTCTCCCTAGATAAATAGACAATAATAAAACTCCAAGGGAAATAATGAATCAGATTTCATTATGTCAATTTGACAAGTGGACTGTATAGTTCGAAATATTTGAAAACGATTGAGCAATAAGTAATATTGATCAACATATCGATGAGCCGCTTTCCTGCACAATCCACAGATTTACTGATGACAGCACTCCACATGCAGGAATTCAGAGTTCTAAGTCAATCTCTACCGGTGAGCTGGAGAGAAGGCTAGTAGCGACTTCCTGGACGCAACAATCTGGTACAGTTTAGTAATTCCAAAAGACAGTACTGAACCTTGACAAGAAGTGCCCTAGCGCTCGTCCGGTGTCGATGAATAGCCGAGTACTAACAACGAGCTGTTCATTTCGGCTGATCGGGGACCAGACCAGATCACCGAGAACTTGATCTGGCACGAACATACCTCGTCAATCGAGGCAGCACCTGGTTTGGGGCTAAGAATCATTGATTAACGTATTCCAGCTAAAGATATTAAAATAGACATTAGAGATGATCCAAAAAGGAATTGAAGAGCTTAGCGCCATCTGTGAGAGAGTACTAGAAGCACACTCCTTTCTGATCCGAGAGCTCGTGACGACTGAACTATAAACGCATTGAGGGGTGATTGTCGATTATTTCGCTCTCCTCGCCACCCCTCGAGAGGATTTGGGGAAGGTGATCGGTTTTGGGGGTGACACTTTTCAAGGTGGATGATAATGGTAACGAAGGTGGATTGAGGGCGATTCTGTATGGATTTTAGGATGTTGGGGAGCTACCCGAATTTTATTTTACTTCCCAAAAGTGAGGTAATATTGTTTTTTATGAAGCATTTCGAAATTGAGATATTGTTTTATTATGTATAGGACATGTACATCACGAACAACCATGTCGTTAACTTTCGTCGGTCTTTGTCTGCTCGAATTTTGATTTCACTTTCACACAAGGCTAATAACTATTCCATGGACAAACAATCGTTGCAGTTTTCCAAAAACCGGCCCACTAGCGGTGGAGCTAGAAGCAAGAAACTGAAAAAAATCTCTCAAAGTTCGTTCCTTGGTGTTTCAGAGGCAGCTGATCAAATTCATAAAAACTTTAGTATGGGTTAAAAATTGGGGGTTTGAAGTTTTATGGGAGGGGGAAGAGTATACCTCAATTTTTTGACGTTAGTACTCGTATATTTAAATGTTTCCAATCACGGTAATTTTAGGCACCTAAATTTCCCGTACATTTGCCCTTAAAACAGAATGATTCAGAAATATTTTCAACACACGTATGTCAGATCATACCTGCACCGCGGTTTAACTGATCGGTGACTGCCGTAGCTGGTGAGTGGTGAGGTTAGCCATAGCAACGTTGTCAGATAGTCGTTACTATCGGTAGGACAGAAAAAAAAGCTAGATCGGAACGTTGTCAAATGGATGGGGACTATGGACTAATTGTGTAGGCCTCTCTGGCTCGCTTACCAGCCACAAGCAATGTAGCTTCTGAACTAGCGACATACTAGCTTATGCCACACGTTTAAAGAGTAGAATCATTCAGTCGCTAGGATATCGATATTGTGGAACAATTGACCCGAAAAAGCTTTTGCCAGTCCTATTAACCTTCCTTGTTGAAAATTGTTGAGTTACATCATTGATTTGATTATGTAGATTACAAAAAATTCAAAACAATTTTGAACGTTCTGCGAAAGTCTATCTATGTATCTGAAAAGTTGAAATGGTTGAAGGTTGACCAGCTTTTCACATCTCATCTGTCTATCTTAGTAGAAAGAATCAGATGCAATAAGGTAACTACTTATCTTCTAATAAAAGCATGTACCACGTGGTGATCTAAATACCAGAATTCCAGGTATAACATACCTATAGTTATAAAACCAACAATTTCCATCGTAGCTTCACCTACAATGATGTGAAAGAGTATAATGCGTATAGTGATACAAAAGCCTTCAAGGATCTGCTATCTAAACTAGTTAATAAAGTTTTGATTTTCTCTCGATTCTAAACATCACAGAACAGTCAGGTGTCTTACCTATAGCATATGGTTTTTTTAACATATTGTGTCATTTTTCTTTCTTTCTACTAGTACTCATACATGCTCTGGTGTCCATCCAGATTATTCTATCTTTAAGCATTACCTACATTGTTAATATGAACTTGTTAATTTCTTTAATTAAGCGTATGTTAATGAGTTGTTCATTATTAGTGTGCATTTTCCTCCTCTGTAAGGTAAAGTGCTAGAGTAGCCAGCTCTGTACCGCCATTCAGTGTGGATGAATCGCTAAATAATTATTATTATTATTTTAGATTGTTCTAATGTGTGTCCTTCTTTCCAGGTTGTCAGCTCAATGGACGCCATGAAGTACTCGATGGAAGCTGACAAGTACCGCTCCCCATACATGCCTCCTTCAACATCGCTTGCCATGTCCGCCATGTACTCCGACCCAAAATATATGGACGCTTCATCCAAGAGCTACCTAGAACGCGGGTACTTGGACTCCACATCGGCCCTAACCAAAGCCTACTTTGAGTCCTCGAAGATGTACATGGACGCCAACAAGTACAACCCTGACACCGCACGCTCGTCATACCCTGGGTTAGACATCGGGAAGATGTATTCTGAGAGCCAGCAACAACAACAACCAGGGGGGAACCAGCAGGTGCCTCTTAGCTCGCCCAGGTACGATTTTTTTTAAATGGACAGGTTGTCTCAATAGATAGGCGATTCTTACAGGCAGAAATATAAATTTTGCACAAGATATGGGGGCGACATTTTTGATACTGTTCTATTGGTATCACGAGTTTGTATTTTGGTACTGTAGAAACTACTGAGAAACTTGAAAATATAATCTAATTTGAGCAAATGTACGCAGGAATTGAATACTTAGTTGCAGATTCTTATCGTTGAAGAGCGAGAACCAAATTTAATCAAGAAAATGAATCACCGGTTTACAGGCGTAAATGACAAATAATCTAAAATCGAGTTACGTCGAACTTTCACATATTTTTTGGAAGTCTCCCACTTCACGGAGTGAAGTAGCTGTATATCAGTTCGCTGCTAAGAATTAAAATTTTTAGAAAATTGTCAAAGTTATAAAATTCCGAAAACAATGTTCACGTACCGGCTTAAATAGATTTACGCCTCTGCGGTAAAACTGGTTCTACATCACTTTAATCTAACAAAAAGAAACAGCAACGTTCAGTCTGAAGAATCAGTATGTCATTTTCAATCTCATTTATTGCTGATTTTCGTTTTCTAGCTCTCCTGTAAAATGTTAGTTACGCCGGTACGTGCGGAGACCGACGATTTGAAGGCCTTGGGGCAATAAGGCACCTAAGCCACATTTCTTCGAGAAATCTAAAGTTTAAGTTATATTTCATCCCTGAAATCACATGTCTTGCTTAATTTCGACTGAAAAATTGCAGTAGCAGTAGCAGTAGATACATTTTGCGGAGCAGAGATAACAACAATAACAACAAAATTTTATTTCCAAATAATGCAAAATTACATTTATGTACCCACAAATAACGTCATGACAAAAAAAATAAAAGAAAGAAAAAACTAGAATCGTGGTCAATAGCCATCGAGACAATAAGGTTCTAGATCTATCAAAAAGTGTGTACTTTGCTCTTAAAGAAATTCAAAATACCTATTTTTTATATCTGGAGGAAGATGATTAAAAATTTATTATATTCTGCATAATTGAAATTTCTAGTGATATAGTTATGTCCTAGTAGTTACTTTTCAAACAAAGGTCGATTTTTTAAGACGAACAGTAGGAGATGTATTCTAAAATAAATAGCAGTTATAGTTGAAATATTATTATTAGAACTCAATTTTCTTCGGCATGATTCTCTTAGTGACATTTTAATCATGCTCCTTTTGGAATATAAAAAGTCAATTTATGTAAATGCTTTTTGCATAGAAAATTATTCCATATCTTAGGATAGATTCAAAATTAGCATGGTAGATAATTTTTAGAGTATCAAAATCAAGATAGTTATTTAAAACTCGCAGAGTGTAACTACACTGCTCAACTTATTTTCTGTTTTTTCTATATGTTCTGACTATTTGAGCGCTTTATGTATATGTGTACTCCAAGAAATATGGTGTTAAACTTAACATCTATTATTTCTGTCAAAGCTATTTTAGTAGGTAGGAAACGATTTCCATGCTTGGACTTAAAAATCATGATTTTTGCTTTTTCTGCATTTAACACTAATTTGTCCTTTGTAAATCATTCCGAAACCTTATCGTAAAACACGAAGCTTTTTGGACTCGGCGTTTCATCATCTCCATATCGTGATCTTTATGCTTCAAAGGAAGAATCAAGATCTAGTGATATATCGTTTACAAAAACTATAAATGGGGTCTGCTACCCTGAGGGATGCCCACTGATGTATGAATCTCGTTTCATTTAGCTGTATTACCATTATTATTAATCACAGTTTGTTGCTTTCGTTGTGAGAAATAATATCTATCACACTTTGGAAGGCTTCCATTTATACCATAATTTTCCAGCGTGACTAACAGTATTTATTCTATGGTCCACACAGCCATAATGCTTTTGACAGACCAAAAACAAAAAAAAATGCATTTTCGAGACATTTAATATTTTGACAGTTATATTGATAATTGCTGAGTTTGTTGATTTACCTTTCATAAAATTGTGTTGTGTTTCAAATAGAGATAAGGATCAGGCCATTTAGAAATTATACCAACATCTATCAGCGAGATCTCAAAAAAGATCATTCTCGGGCATAGATACGCCACAGTTTCTTTTAAATGGAAATGTGTTTTTTTATTAAAATGTGGTTTAAGTACCCTTTTGCCTCAAGCCCTTCTTTTGTGAGTTTCAAAACTCTCTATTATAATTATTATTGTCAATACCCTCATCATTTATATTTTCTCCTTCTTTCCAGATCCTCGGATTCCCCCGACGTGAAGCAGACTCAAGATCGCCTGGAAGGAGCTTCAAGCGCAAGCTCCACCACCACATCTTCGGCAGGGGCGTCACCTGGCGGCCTGCCAGGGTACTACCCGGGAACCACCATGCAGCAGACCACAGCAGGGTTGCTGCCCATGTCGCAGTACACGGGGCAGTACCCGACGCAACCAGCTGGCAGCGAATTTCGAAGGCCGCTGACAGTTATATTTTGACCAGATAGATTGTGAACGTGAATAGTGATATGAATAGGTGCGTTTTTGTAGTTCTACAATTCTGCGTTTCCGTAGTTGGAAAACCAATGTAGTGGTGGATGATTTTTGTCAACCGAAAATTTTCCGTTTTTAGAGTTCGAGAGCATACGCATTGTTAAAATCGACGTCATAGCTGTTGTGTTTGTTGGAATTTTTTGCGAGATTTTCTGTAAGGACAGGGATAGCCAAAAAAAAGAAAAGAAAACCGTAGAAAATGGCTTGAAATTGTTGTATGTAAGGCCACAAGTGAAAGCTGTAAAATGTGATCCCGTTGACAGTTGACCACTCTAGCACGAGCTCCTTCAAGTCGCGCGATATTTCTGCACTGAGTGCAAACTTAGTTCAAAGTACGGACCAAAACAACATGAATATTTATGTATGGTGTTTCAAATCCAAACCTCACCATTCGGATCTCGGAAACGGTAAGAGATACGAAGTTGCTTGATTGGGGACAAAGTTCCGTATTTAGGTAAATAACAAAATGTCGCTTAGAACGTTTCGAAATTCAAAGAACTTCGAGAGAGAGACAGAAAAAACCAATTTTTCCAACACCGCTTTGATTTTTCCCGGCCAAGTAGTGTAGTGGGATTTCAGAATAAATTGCACACTGACACTGCCACTTTTTCTCTTCTACAAAATAACAATCAGAATTTTAACATGACGTTTCATCTCTCATCTTCCAGCATCAATTTTATTTTTTCTCAAACAAGTAGAGATTTCAAAAATGTATAATATGTCATACATTAACAATGCCAAGCCTTAATTATTTGAAAAACATATAATTTCCTAGGTATGCCCTGAAATTATCAGGTAGGTAGTCATTTGTTTTGTATATTAGCTTTATCGCAAAATCATAATAAACTGAGCTCTAAACCATGTCAGAGGCTTTGCCTTCAAGATAACGGACAACACTGTGAATATCTGCTATGATTTACTTCTGCTTGTTTATGGTTATTATTGTGATTAACATATTACAAGATGGCGCAGTCAAATTTTTTATTCGAGCTGTCTTCCTTTGACTTCCATATCCAACTTTGTTTTTTCATGTGGGTGCTACATTGGAAGGCTGTGGATTTACATGGAGTTTTCAGTCCTAGATTCAGTGATGAAATTCCCTTAGTTGACCAAGAATTTGTTGGTGGAAAGAAAATTATGATATGATACCTGAACACAAAATGAAAATTTTATTGACGGTAGTCACAATAATAAGCATAAATAAGCAGAGGTAGATTATAGCAGATTTTCACAATGTTGCCTGTTATTTTGTAGGCAAAGCCTAACTCTTCTCTGTACATTGTTCAGCGCTCAGTTTATTATGATTCTGCCATAAATTTGGTATAGGAAACACATGACTATCTGAGAATTTCAAGGCCTACCTAAGAAATTTCGTTTTTCTTTCAAATAACTATGCTTTGGCAATGTCAATGTATGATGACATATTATACATTTTTGCCGTCTATAAGAAGAAATAATGTTGTTGCTGGAGGACAAGAGATAAAACGTCATATTGAAATTCTAATTGTATCATTTCGTAGAGGAGAAAGAGTGGCAATTTTCATGTGCAATCTATTTTAATATCCCACTACGAATAAAGTCAGGAAAAAATGAAAACGATTTTGGGAAAATTCGGTTATCTCCATCTCTCTCTGGAAGTACTTTGAATTTGGGAACTTTCTAAGCCGCGGTGGCGTTTTGTTAATTACCTAAATCAGCAAATTTTCCCCCATTTCTTACCGTTTCCGAGATCCTAATGCTGAGGGTCGAATTTGAAACACCCGGTATACAATGGAATAGCCAATAGTCGACAGGTAAAGGCTTGGTGCTGAAAGAGTTGATTTTTGTATTTCAAACGAACAATAACGCGCCCTTGAGAGGCCCTCACGAGGATATTTAACAATGCATTTCATAGCAGGTTGTAACAGTAACAATCAAGATTCTCATAAAAGTCGAATTCTTCATGATCTGTAGAATTTCAAAAATTTTGATTATTCTAAAATAATTAAAATTGCAAAACCCTGAAAATCTGGCAATTTTTTTAACTGTAAATTTTGAACACCTTGAACATTTTGAAAAGCTTTTAAAATTTCAAAGTAATGTAAATAAATATCGTTTATCCTCAAAATGTTCAATATCTTGAAATTTTTAGAATGTTGAAAATTTTGAATATTTTGGAAAAATTATTAGATGTAGAAGGCTCTGAATTTTTGAAAACAAGCTATAAAGGCTGTTGCAACTTACTATGCAATGCAGATGTTGAAACTCCACTCAAAGATGTGTTATTGTTCAGTTGAAGGATTGATCGAGCCTTAGTCGACACTCAGTACTCAAACAGATCTGCTCGGGAACCTTGCGATGATAATATGGGAGACTCCACTCCAGGATGATTAGTTTGCACCCGTTCCATTTGCTCGTTATTTTTAAAACGTCATCCAACCTCGATTGTCTACAATTATATCTGCGGGACTGCGTGGTGTGAGCAGGCACTTTATGGAGCCGAACTATATATAGTCCAAGCAAGGTAGATTAATTTTATGGTATGCCTTAAGGTAACAAGACATTATTAATTTTTGAATCGCTGCAATCAAAACAATTGTCTGCACCTGTTAATTTCCATCGTTATTTAGAACTCATTCATAAAATAACCATGCTATATATTGTGGAGCTGGCTGATTTATAGTCCAGGCACAGTAGATTCATTTTTCAGTATAACCATATGGAAACGAGCCACTTATTTTCGAACTGCTGTATCCAAAACAATTGTTTCACCTGTTAATTTTCATCGCTACTTAAAGCTCTTTCCGAAAATGATCATGGTATAAGTTGATATCGATAGGGTGGCAGATGCAAAAGAAATGCAAGCAGACAATAGCTCTGTATTTGACTATAGCCGAAAAATCTGCGTTTTTCTAGTTTGAAGACCAACGCAATGGTCGGCGATCTTTAATTGCCGAAAACTATACGATTCTGTGATTCAAAAGAAGACATAGTTGTCGGAAAATTCATCACATTTTTGGATATCAGCATCAAATAAGTACGGGTTGCCAAAATTAGCTTGGTCTGTTCACTCTCCCAGTGTCTCTGTACATAAAATATACGTTGTAATTCCATCATACCTCATTTATCGTTTAGATACAAAAAGCAAATATAGCTGATTCTATTGGAGGAAAATACTTTGCATTTTTTCGAAAAGATCTGTTTTGCAAAAATGTCGTATGTTATTTTACTCGCAATACTTTTTATATTCAAAAAAGAAAGGAAATAGGGAATAAAAGGATGAATGCAAAAAACCAAAAAAATATTTAATTTTCTGTGAAGTATTTTTGACGGAGAACCCCTTCATATTTCCATATTTCTTGTTTTAACTTAAAAATTGATGAGATCTGGTAGAATTACAGGGGTACATTTTATGATATACGGGTATTGGGGAGCCTTAAGATCGGTTCCCTTAAAAACAAGAGTTAAGTAGTGGACGAGTGTACTTGTTCACGACTAATTTTGGATATTCACAACATTTTGCGGCTCGAGCTGGATTTGTCAAACAGTACGACAATCAAAAACGAAAATACAAACGAGGTGTTTATCGGATGTGAGTTACACCATTTTTTCAATTCTCTTGATCGGCAAGAAAAGTATTTCACTAGGGCGGATCATGGGAGTCATATTTTTTCGATTCTGTTGAGAACCAAATCAATGTTTCTCAAAATTTACACCTATTGTTCCATTTGAAGCCAGAAACGTGATTTCAGGATCTACATTGTACTTGTACCTTTAGATTTCCCGTCAACGTGTCTTAGGTACCTTATTGGCCCAAGCCCTTCAGCTTTAATCATGGCCAACTTCAATTTGAATGTTGTTACCTGACGTCACAGTAGCTGGGGCAGTTAGTGACAACCTTGTTCTGACATCCTTGGATGGATACTGCATAAAAATACTAGTTTTGGATCGTAATTTTCACTATGTTTCATTTTCGTGAATTTTTTTCTGTGATTGGGTTTCCTTAGCGTTTAAATCTAGTTATACTCCTATAGCGGCATGAGTACTTAAAAAGCTGCAATTATGTATCAAACTCACTACAAACGTATACGATATAGTATTGAAATTTTCTTGATGATATTTCTAAGAATAAACAAGAGCTATGTGCTTTATCATTGTATAAAAATTTGCTTGATGTTCTCACCTTTTCTGAGGGTTTTGTGTTTTCATATTTTCACGTTTAATGCCCTTAAATTTTCGTGACAATATTCCGTAACACCCCGTGAATGTTATCTCGTTCCGCATTTTATAAACTCAAAAAGATTTATCAACTTTATTTGTTCCAACAAAAACAATTTTATGCATAAAATAGTCAGTTCAATTATAAATACACACCAATATGATACCAACACTACTAAAATAGTTTCAAGTAAAATCTACATGATAAAACTTCGGATGTCAACGACTTTGCACACAGTTCTTTTTATGAAGGTGAAATATTATCGACGAGAAAATGTATAGAGAACTGCACACGCAATATGTAAATTACTGTAAATAAAGTTTAGTTATATGTACAGATATAAATGTGCTTTTAGACAATAGCCGGAAATATTTAAATTAATTTGGAGTTGCCGCATACTAGGCCACCAGTGGCGACCACTATTCTACGCAACTTGTGGCCAAGTCACAGCATATACGGGGGTAATCCCAAAAGTGTGGTCTTACATTTTTATTAAAATTAACAAAAAGCATTTACCTCCAATAATTGATATGTCATTGCAAAGCTTAAACATTTATCTATATTTCTACAATTTTTGTGAACGCTGTGACAGTTTTTGTATGTCGATGTCATACCAGTTCGCCGCCGTCAAAAACTGAATCGCCTTGTCAAATGTTCTGTCAACTTAGGGGACAGGTGCAGGTGGTAGCTGCTTGAGCAGCAAAATATTCTCAATAGAGTTCTCGTCTCTTCGACAATGGGTGGCGTGTTTTTTTACTCCTTAAATCAGTCCTACATTTCTTCTACCACCGCTTTAAGAAGGTAGCAACCATGCTTCTAACTGGTTGACTGGGCCTGTAAGCCTAACCTGTCCCCTCTGAATTCTGCTATATGAACGCCGATATTCCAAAATATATACCAACATAAATGACGGTAAGACCTAGGCAAATAGGTAAACATGATGAAAACTGCAAAAACACTATTCATCATACATATGAGGTTTTATTTATAAAACGATAGAACACCAGTATCAATAGGTGAGAAGATCCTTTACAACCATATGCACCACATAATAATAATGGACACCACTATTCAAACAGTACAGACACTACATGTTCAAGATTTTCACCTTCATGAGGTAAAGCGGTAAACGTAAGATCAATTGTATCCATGAGGAAAAACAAAAACGAACACATTCCATTTTATTCACATGTTTTGATAATAGAAGCCACTTGGATGCACCAATTCAAGGACGGGCAAACCAGTCTGATCAGAACGGCGCTTCTACGTACAACCACAGCCGACGTCAACTACGAGCCGTGATGAAAGAAAGGCAACACCGCGCTCGGACGGCATGGTAGTGCTACCTGTGAACGTCGGCCGCCAGCGGCTGTGTGCTCCGTCTCCGTGTAACGTTCAAGAACTAAATTTAATTTTGGAAAAGAGGACAGTTCGATTCGATACAAATCATCTGAATATGAAATAGCTCTAAAAAATTTAAAAATACGAAATAATCGTGATATATATGAGTCGCTAATGCAGTTAACCTAATTAAAAGTATTTAGTTTACGTTTTTTGGTGTCAGCACACTGTGTTCCAACAGGCCCAGCTTGGAAATGTGGAGTTACCCGTTTGTTTTTAATACATTTACTTTCAGTTTTACTGTTATTTTTCAATTTTACATAATCATTCAAAATTATGTTTGAAAAAATAGACAAAAGCTTAGATAAAATATCTGCAAAACTGCAGCCACAGATGCAAGTTAAAGAAAATTCACTGTATATAAAGTCAGACTGAATGCTGAGCAAGGTTAACTGACACAAAATAAATTTTTGATTATTGCTTTATTCAAGAAGAAAATTTCCAATCTATCTACATTAATAATAGATTCAAAAATGGCATACATATGGTAGAATATGATTGGTACATAACTGGTTGGAATTGACAGTCCTCCTCTTTGCAAATGATCAAAATAAACATTTGTTGTTAATGAACCTTTTTCTTTAACTATTAGCGATTTGCTTATCTCGCAGTTTAGGTTTTTAGAGATAGCGTGTGAAGCATATCCAGATATATAAGTCTTAGTACTATCCTCTATGTCACAATTGGCTAAGTAATTTGTCTCAAATACTTCATTGAATATATCCAAAACTTCAGGATTTTGTTTGGTATCCAAGAAATCAAAATTTTCTTGAGTTTCTAAGCAGTTTTGGAACCTTGTTTTAATTTCTGCTAAAGAAAATGACGATTTCTTTTCATTGAAAATATGCTTCAGCCGTATTTTCTTTTCAGCATTTAAAATTTCATCATATGACACATTGTAATTGCAGCCACATAAAAGTCTATAATTGCCAAATCGTTTTTCTAAATTATCAGTGGTGAATTTTCCAGGCAATACATACTCAATGTCAAATTGATTAAATGAATATTCAATTATATTAAGTAGAGTCAGCGTGCTTTGATATAGAGCTGTATACGTTTCTGGTGTCAGGTGTCCATTATTATTCTCTAGATTATGCCATTTTTCTAACCATATCAGGAATTTTTTTAAAAATTGTACTCTATAATCATATTTATTGGTAATAGGCTTACAAAATTCGTTTCGCTTCAATTCTCCTTTTATTACACTTGTATTACTGACAATATCCCACCAATTCCTGATTATTTCCAAAAAGTGTGCAGCATCATTAAACTTTAATTCTTTCATAGCAGCTATTGTTGAGTGATGGAATAAATTATCTATAAAATTTACATTTTGCCTTTCAAATGAATTTGGATGCAATGTTTTATAATTTAATTTATATGCTTTCTTAACTACAGCTTCTTTTTTCAATTGATATACACCACACATGTTTTCAAATTTAGCATACTGAATAATATCATTATTGTCAAAATTGAATTGAAAATATGCACAACATCATAAGTTAAATATATGTTCTTATCAGGATTATGTGGATTTGGAATAGAATAATTTTCTGATGAATGCTTTGCTAATTTCCTGAACATTGCTCTATTAATTCGGTGATTATCAGTAACAACACAAATAACTTCAAATCCACATTTTTGAACTAAATTTATCACATGTTCAACCAAAGGTGTCATTTCATCACCTGTTAGATTTGAAACTGGTAGTAATTTGATAATTTCTGTTATGTTTCCAAATGCTGAAGATAGCATGAAGGCTAAAACAGTTTTAGCTATGTCATTTTTCTTTGAAATTTGAAAAATACAACCAGAATTTGCACGTTTTCAATAGTTGAAATCCTTAGCGTCCTGAGGCGCGAACAGCCACAGTCACACTTCTTAGTTTATTTTTAAAGCACAGAAGCACTACTGGAGTCTATTTCTCATATATTATAGTCACCGATCACTTTGAACACATACACACACTTTGAAACTTAGAAAACAAGCTTATCTCTTAATTACAGCCTCTGCGATTCCAAAATCATAAATTAGGTTATGTTTTCTCAGCGTTTTGAGCGGCGGGAGTAACACTACCACCTACGTTGCCAGATTTCTTTGTTCACGGCTCGTAGTTGACGTCGGCTGTGGTACAACTTATACATCCACCATGGTCAGCACGCGCTGCTGCAGAAGGTCATGGACGATCGGCTACTCGACGAAGATATCTGTTTGACCATCCAATAATGGGGAAACCTCAGAGTCAGTCACGCTCAAGCCAGAGGCCAACTGGAAACATGGGAAGCAAGATTTCGAGGTGCAAGGCGGCCAGCATTGGTACATCATGGGGCCACAAGCTCGCCTTGTCGTCTCCAAAGACTCCGTTTACAGGGCAATTCATCGCTATCACGAGGCCTCGGTGCGGTGGTGTATCCACCCAGGAGCAGAGGAAACGTTAAGGACCATCCGCCAGTTCTTCTTTAGGAGATGCTGCCCATCGTCCAGGACTACGTCCATCTGTGCCTGATCTGTGCATCGACTAAGAGAGTTGCCCCGTAGGGTGCCATTGGACAACGCCCCCAGCTGGCGGAGAGGCCATAACAGGTCATCAGCATGGATACCATGGGATCATAACCAGACTTCAGATTCAAAAACAAGTACCACGAATCTGTACAACAAATATGTCAAAGACGTCGCAGCCCCCAGTGACCAGACTCCAGTCCGGCCTTCCTGTGAGATATTTGCGGACGATTGAGTTACCCAAAGGCAATGGGACTACCATTATGAGACACTGCTGAAACCGCTTTCTGGAAGACAACACGATCGAACATCGCATCAGCTCCGTTTTCTGCCAGCGCGCCAACTCAGTAGAAAGGTTCCAGAAAGTGAAGAAAGCACTCCGCGCACTCGTACTGGAAACTGGAGAGTAACGCCGATGGGATAAAAATCTCGGTGACATACTCCTTGCCTTCCGCAATCATCGCAACTCAGCTACTGAAAATCACCAGCGCAAAAATTACTGGGCAAAACACTCGTGGAGCGACCAGAGAACGAGTAAACAGGGCACATCGGAACATCGTCTACGCTTGGCACATATTCCTATCACAACCGACCAAGAGGGACAGCGAGTAATGGTACAAAACTTCGCCACGAGAGCCTTCGAACCAACCTGACAGGGCCATTCACCGTCCAGAGGAGGACCTGCGCTACCACCTACCAGACCCTCAGGGACAACGACGTTATGCCAGTCCATGTAGATGACCCCTGACCATACGCCAGCATTCGAGTACTCCACCTGATGTCTTCGACGACTCCGAGGATGAACGGAACGCCCCAGCACCAGAGCCCGGCCACCCAGGATCAGGAGATCGAGAAGACTTATTATACTGCAAGTGCCCGACCAAAACGAGTTACCCTCGCGCGCTGACGCCCACTGTTTGGTCGGCCAAGTATCAGTGTCGTACGGATGGTGTCGTCTATCTCCAAAATTTCTATGGGAATATTCTGGTTATAATTATGTGAATGCTATTGAATGATGCTATTATTAAATTTGGTAGAATTGAAGATTTGGTTATTCTTTAACTATTTATCAACGCAACAGGTCGCGGTTCGCGACAGTCGGCCGGCCGCTGAGCTGTCAGCGTTCACCACAAAACACATAAAACAGAAGAAGTGGGAGCTCCACGTTAAATGATGGCAACACCGTTGACGTTTGTCAGACGGTTGTGCCGCCTACTTGCCTGGAAATTTGGAGAAAATATCAAAGGAATGCCGAGAATGCGCCAAGATTTCACTTTTTCATAATTTGAAATCTGCTGAAAATGATATTTCCGATATTGAAGGTATATTTCATGAATATATATATATATTCATAAAATATACTCAATAAGGGTAATATCGCTTTCAGCAGTTTTGCTGAAAACAAGGTTCAGAATAATAAAATCCAACACTAATTATGAAGGGCAAAATATATTTAGCTTCAAAAAATAATCATATGCTGTTGAGAATGTTACAAAAATTGTGTTACAGGAAAATATAGATAGATTCATTCCAAATTCATGTTATGTCTTGCAAAACACAGGTGTATCATTGCATTGAATTGCTTCTTAATAATTCTGAAGCAACACAGAAAACACTAATGTAATTTCATGTCTTTAATATGTTGGCCTAGATGGACAGAATTTTGCTTTATAAAGCGTAGGGCTTTATGATTACTCTGCCGATATTACCAGGTACCTTATTTAATACTTATTTTATATAACGGTGTCAACTACTAGGATTATAAAGAGGCTGAATCCAGACATGCAATTTTATATAATCTACCAACTACATCATGCTGATATGTCTACCTGTAGCACTTCATGACTTATGAGAGTCCTCTGAACTTCTGCATCTTCCACAATGGTCACAATACATCCCACGTATAGCATCACAGCTACTGATAGTGTTGCTTTATATTTTATACTCATTTTTAACGAAATATCTCCGAAAGCATCAGCGTTGAGAATCTTGATATTAACCAAAACGAACGCCATATTTGATATTTTGATATTTAAAGATAGAGAATCAGTCACGTGATGCCGTTAATGCAGTTTCCTTGATTTTGCCTCGCGGGGATGACCTTGGTGTTGCCAGTTCGCCCATAAGACGTTTTACCCTCCTGGAGTTCACCACAGTTGCTTCGTCACAGCAGGCACACTCCGCTCAGCAAAGATTTTTCTATTGCTCTCGACACACTAACTTGTTCTAATGAACACTCGGGGTCAGAATCAACGTGCCGCTGGCACACATCGGAACGACGCTCTAGCTACCTTTCAATGGATCTCCCGGAAGAAAGACAGAAAGTTCACTTAATGTTAACAGAAAATAGTGCAACTGTGATTAAAGATAACGTTCACAATATTCACTACGACTATCGCTTTTATATTAGAAACAAAGCTATGGACAACGGCTCAAACTATGACTAAGCTGCTTTTGATGGATTGCTATCCAAAATGGCAGCATGCGCAGTCCGTTTCTGCCAACACGAGATGTTTTGTTGCTTCCTCTTCTGTGGTATGGGTGCGCGTTGTCTTGGAGAATGTTTACGTCAAACATCCCTATTCTCCTGTTCTGAATTATGCATTTGAGCTTCTTTCAGCGTTTCACAGTACATTCTACCCCATCTGTTACCTAAGTTGAAAAAGAACATTTGTCTAGAAATATGCAACATACATAAATCGAAGACAAGGGGCCAGTGTGATAGTGTGTTTTTATTATCTGATAAGGCTGCGATCTAGAAACTTTTTCCTTGCCCTTACTGAAAATACTGACCACCTGGCCAGCTCGGGCAGTGGTGCGGTGAGAGATCAGGCGACAGCGGCAGGCGGAGACATGATCGCCGCCGTTTGATATTTCTTTATTTTTTTTAGGCAAGTAGGGCAAATCTTTAATGTAAGATATATGTACTAATACTCTCCTCAACCTCCAACAATCAATTTTTAAAAATTTTAATTTTTCCAGGAACGATCAACAGCCTCAAGGTTTGAGCTATATTTGTTTATTTTTCATTTTTTGCCGCTCGCTCCGCCGCTACTGGTCTGATTTTCAAAAAGTGTAAAAGTTTTACCAACATTAGAGCGGCACTTTCCAACTTATAGACCAAGGATGAGCGGACAAACAGTCAGACAGACAAGCAGAGCGACGGAAATGAGTGACATGGTTTTGAAAAAGTATTCAAGAAAAATTTAACTCTGTCACTTGTAAGTATTGTTAAGAGTTGTCTGCAATAGATTCAAAGACACATGTACGTTTGACGTAGCCAAGCATCAGTGTATGCTTTTAGAATGGTCTACGTTTCCCGGATGAGTGCAGCAAATTGCTAAATTTTCACACGTAGTTCGTCAACTATGTTCACCTTAGTTTTATTCACTAAATATTTCATTTTGCCCCAAACAAAAAACAGATATCACTAAGGTTTTCGGAAATGATCTGCATACACTCGCGAAGCCTCTGTAACATTTCAAAGACACTCACCGTAAATTAAAATAATATGGCTAACTCCGATGTTGCTACGTTTTGTTTACCAACGCGGCCAGCGCCTGAGTACTGATACGCATCTCACGTGTTCACGTTTAATCGGATCGAGGTGCTCACTTGTACCAGATCTATTCGCTGTGTAAACGAAAGTTCCAAAGAGGACACCCTGTATGTCATGTTACATCCAAAAAATATATTTTTAAATTTCGGATATTTTCGCCATTACAGTACTTCTTCCGCCAGTAGGCGTGGGAATTAGAACAGATAGCTAAATAGATTTAAGCTTCATAATGATGAGTCAATCATTGGAAACAAATGTTTGTGCTTTTAAAAAACAGAAGACCTTACTTTTAGGATTATGATCGTATGAAATAAATGTAATCACCGACTGTGGTGGCCTATTGTGCGACAGCCCTTAGAGTTTTATTTGTTATTAATTTATACTCTTATTTCATCGTTCCTATTTTCCAGCTGATAGTCCGTATACTTAAAAAGTATTCCCCTGTATATCTTGTTATCGAAAAAAAAACGGTACATAGTAGGATATTACTGTAAACTGTACAACTGTACGTTGTGTAAATTATAAAAAAAAATCTTGAAAAACAATAAATATATCATTGTTTGGATTAAGTAGTCTCATTTCGCATACCTATTTTGAATCCCCATACTGCAAATGGCGTTTTTATATTCAAGTAGCCCAAAGGCTAATCTCAAATGTCCTAGTACCTACCTCGATTTGTATGAAGGAAGGAGAAGTAATAGGTATTGGTATATGGATAGAAATCATAAAAGTGAAGACTGAACTTGTCAACTGGGCTGTATATTAGTGTGTCCCACGAAGGATTGCAGCGATTTTCCAGAAAGGTGACAGTATGAAAATTTGAATTCATCGTACATGGTGGCCGATATGTAACTGTCTGGTTTGTATCTTGAATATTTGTGAAATGAAATAAAATACGGCCATTTTTTTATCTTATCTTTTATCAAAACTTAGAAAGTATGTATGAAAAATAATATCAGACAAATTTCCACCTCTGGAAGCCGCGCAAGCCTGAGCCCTGTTGATTACATTTTCCATCACTTTTTGGCAGGTTTCAAGGGGAATATTTTCAATCGCTTCCGTAATATTGTTCTTCAGCTGCTCTACAGTATCTGGTTTGCTGACATAAACCCTATATTTCAAAAATCCCCATAAAAAAGTCAGACATCACCAAATCGAGAAAGTAAACGTCCCGGAAATATTGTTAACAAAAGATTCATTGTTTCTCTAGATGTGTGACAAGTTGCTCCGTCCTGTTGGAACCACATGTTTTGTAGGTTAAATAATTCTTGGATTTGAGGAGCCAGAAAGTTTTGCACCATATCCCGGTAGCGCTCGCCAGTGACACTAATACAATTACCTGCAGCGTCTTCAAAGAAGTAAGGTCCAATGACACCTTCATACCAAATACCGCACCCAACTGTTACTCGACGAGGCTGTAGAGATCGTTGATGGATGACACGGGGGTTCTATAATGCCCAGATGTGACAATTCTGCTTATTAATAAATGGGTTCGTATCGAAGTGGGCTTCATCGCTCTTTATCAGTTGTTGGGAAAAATCGTTATTTTGGGTATTAAGCTGCAATATTGCACGACTGTATTGTCAGCGACTTTCATGGTCACTAGTTCTTGGGTTAACTTAATTTTGTATGGCATAAAATGAGAGTATTTTTTTAAAATAGTGCATAATGACGTGCGACAAATACCCAGTTCTTGAGAACGATGTCTGGTAGACGTCTCAGAGCGCTCCACTACACTTTCACGAACTCTCTCGATATTTTCCTGAGTACGAACAGTTAGAACATGGCCCGACCTTGGCAAGCCTTTAACTTCACCTGTTTGTTCAAATTTCCGCACCAACTGACAAATGGTATTGACACTGACAACATTATCTCTGGACGCAAGATATCCTTAGTAATTGACGGGTTCTCCTCTTCATGCCCATAACGTCAACGCGGGTGTTCCTTAGAGATCGGTCTTGGCTCCGACAGTTTCTCTTACATATCCACGACCTCCTTTCCTGCACGATCAACCCAATCCGCAGCTTCGCTGATGACAGCACTCTACATGCAGGAATTCAGAGTGACAAGTCGATATCTGCCGCTGAGCTGGA